CCCCAAAACCCCAAAACCCCAAAACCCCAAAACCCCTATTTAATATAATGCAGCTGAATTTTATTTAAACTCTATTTGAAGCAAGATTATTTCGACACATTCCTCATCCCATTGCAAATTCAGATCCATCATCAGGGTGTTCCATCTCTAGTACTCATTCTGGGGGTCCAGGGCATTTGATAATGTTCCTGGTTAGATTTGAATGGCATCTATTACAAAAGTGAGTATTCCCAAAGCAGAACCACTGGGAATAATTTCATCAGTATCTTCATTTAAACTCAATGAACTCATCTCCATGAGTGTCACAGTGAACTTTGCCCTTGAAGTCTTCTCCACTTCAAGCCCCACAAATGAGTTCTTTTTCGTCAAAGCCATCTCCAGCATCAAGTGCAGCGCCTCACTCCCTTAGACCACCAAAGTAGGGTTTTTTTCACTTGTATCATTGGTAAAAGGCTAGCCTATCCATTCAGTAATCTTCAAATTTCTCGAAATATTCATCATTTTCGTCTTGGAGTCGTTCATCTTTGTCCAGACCTTCAGCTGTACCCCTCTCAACAGCTTTGGCCCGAACTTTGCTCTCAAGGTCAATCGCCTCGTCAATGAGCCTTTTCAGTTTTATGTGGTAGACCTCTCCGATTTCTGCTTTACAAGAAGGACAAGTTTTATAAATAAAAGTAACTCGAGGCCCTGGCCACTTAGCCTCGACCTTTTGGACTAAACACAGCACATGAAATATGTGTTTACAGGGTAGCTGGATTCAGGGCTCCTTTCCGAGTGATTTATCAAATCATATCACACAGTTGGAGTTATCATTCTCTCCCAATGTCTTGCTCTGATCTTTATTGACACAATCTGGGTGGAGGCACGGTAAGCAGTGCTTCTCCCTACTGATCCCATTTCAATAATGCCCACATGGAAGTTTTTTTGAGCAGCCTTCCTTCTTAAGAGATTTGCATTCTTTTGATTTTCAGACAAATCTAAAAGCCCCTCCTTTCCTTCGTGCCTTTATAGGCTCCGAGCAGTATCTTCATCTGTCAGATTCCACAAATTCCCTGTATTCTGAGCAGGTGTAGCCGATGTGATACGGCTTGATTTTACAGTACGCACAGAAGACATCCCTTCAGTTATGTCACTTAACCTTAAATTTAGCCATGTTTTCAGCAGATTTGGCAGATATCTGGTTACCTTCTTCATCCACATTATTTGACCTTGTGCTTGACGACTTTAACTTCTTCACCACATCGACACCTGACTGCACCTTCTTTGACTTCTTCATCATCTTCTAAGATTTCTTCCTTAAGTTCTGCCCATTCTTCCTCTCCTAGCTGATCAATTATCTCATCTTCATGCACTATCTTTCCTCATGATGGGCAATCTACTATCTTTTTGACCGAGTACTCAACTTTGATCAAGTCAATAAAGCAGTCATTACAAATAGTATGATTTCAGGAATAAAGGTTATAAATATCCTCTTCATTATCAGCATCGACTTGTTTCTTACACGAGACTCAATGGAAGAAGCTTGGCTCCTAAAGATTGGATAAATATAACTGGCTAGAAAACTAGGCATCAGCATCAAATAGCTAAGCGATGCAAGACGAAAAATCTGGTTGGAAAACATACAGGTTTATGCGGAAATATCGGAGGCAAGTGACCTACATCATCTTCACTCTTGTCCAATACTTTATTGCTAAGCTCTGGCCGAACTGGCTTCAGCATTTTTAAATATAAATGTTTTATCTTAACGAAGGAATTTTAGAGCTCTAATAAGGGGTTTTGGGGTTTTGGGGTTTTGGGGTTTTGGGGTTTTGGGG